TTGATAATATAATACATAGCATCTTCGTATAGTCACTTACTGTAACTGGGTTATTATTAGGAACTGTGTCCCAGTCATTCACAGCTACTGGTTTCAAATAAGACTTTGTAAAGACATCAGAAAGGTCATTAGTATTCTCTCCATTTAACGTATAGACACATATTGCTGATCCAGCAGGACCATTCCTATTAATAAAGTATTCATAATAGTATTAATGATAATGAGCTACAAATGTACTTACTCAGATGATGTGAAAGCACCATACATGTATTCTCCTGACACATTAGATACATGAACTGTGTCCTCTATTGTTGAATAGTAAGTTGATATTATCAATGATAATGGTGACATACGTAAGCTATTGAAAGTAAATCGAACATCATTTCTTGACTTTGCCCTTGACTGGCACATAATACGAGCCTTGAGATATGTGACAAAAACTTTTGTAGAAGTAGGAATAAGAATATTAGTGACACCAGTATCATTCTAGAGTATCATGAAATAATTTATAATTAGTGAAAATAATGAGTAGAGCCTAAACTTACAATTAAACAATGTCCAGACATTGTATCTAAACATTGTTTAATTGGACCTGAAATTTATATGAAACGGTCAGACAGGGTTTTCCATAGCATTTTGGCATGCATGCAGCTTCTTGTTGTCATATTAAGCTGTTCAAAAGTTGGGTTAAAGATCTACCACTATGTACATGTAGTACAGGATGTTTAGAAGGGGAAATCCTTATTACTTTTTTCTATATATGTTTTATGGGATGTATCATCTTTGAACTGAATCTGATAAGTTTGGAACTTAGGCCAAAGTTTACTCAAAAATTATGCTGTTCAGACAAAAATGGTAGAACAGTACAAAATAGCATAATGGTCGGAAAATGTCCCATGTCTAACTGTTACATGTACATGTATTTCAGGCTCTGAATTGAGTATTATATACACATGTACACATACCTTACAGACTCTACCAACTCTAGAGTATATCTAAATTGGAGGAAGAAAAATCAAATGAAATGATGTACATGTACATGTACAGAATAACCACATTGCATTCACAGTTTCACACTACATGTACATCAGGGTTGTGCCCATGATGGTTGAGAGATTAGGACCAACCACCTCAACAAATGAACAGCATTAAAAAAGGAACAGTAACAAGGTCTCCTATTGGATTTTGGCATAGTACTCATGTACACCTTCTTGTAAGAGATTTCTCAAGTTGCTGCCAACAACCATGTACTGTACATAAAAAATTAAAAAGAACAAGATTGAGTAGGATTCTGAAGCCATTTTACTTCCATTTTACTTTAGGGTGAATCCTACTTAGTAACACTACTGCATTGCTAATAGTACAGGGTACATGTACAATGTACAATGTACATGTACAGTACATTATTTTATACACATACTCTACCTGTGCTTTTGTTAAAAACTACAAGGAAAAAGTCATACATGTGCTGTACATGTACTTATAAATTTGAGCTTATTCCAATCATAATTTAATTTTCATAAATTTTAAAACTTGCTAAAGCAATAGCCTTTGGTCTTTGGCATTCAATTTTCTATTTTTATAAGTTTTTTCTGATACATGTACATTATACTGTATGTATGTACAATGACATGTACACATCTACAGTGTACTTAATGTTGCATAGAAAATTTGAGCTCATTTGAATTAAAATTAAATTTAATATGATTTTTAATAGTTGCTCCAAAAGCCCTATGCTATTATAAAGGCTTGTCAGCTCATAAAGGATGCTATTTAACCAACTTTGCATGCTTTGTGGAAACCCTGATCAGTAATAGTGTGTGACCATCTCTTCTTTTCCTAGGCACAACTCTGATATACAGTACATGTACATGCATACAGTTGTATGAATGCATGGACACAAACTCCAATCATCAGATTATCACACAACATGACTATTGATTTAAAATAGCAACTCACAGGGCGCATAGAAACTTGTCCAATCTCTTCTGCTGTCTCTCTCATAAAGAAATAGTAATAATCACCAAACTCATATACATCAACAAATTCTGGTTCTAAAATAGAAAAAGGAAAATGAAGTAAACAAGTTACAAATACATGTAGAGCAGGGTCTAAAATAACTTCTTTAAGTTACAGTACCTAAACTTACATGTACAAGTACATGTACATGTAATTCAAAAGATACACACACATGTATTTATTATTATTTTAAACTTTTAATGTTTAGTGTTTCAGTAAAACAAACAACAAAAATTCATAATTTGCATAATTATGCTTCAATCTAAGGTAATGATTTCTCTTGTTTTTTAAAGCTTACAGTTTGGTTAGTGGCTACCATTACATGTACAATGTATGTTTTGACACAGTACATGTAGTTTTTGGCTACTGTCAACCACGCATTTAAGCACTGCATTAGTCTTATACATGTACAGTGTACATGTACACGTCAATTAAAAGAACAATGTTGAAATGTCATGCATATACATGTACATGTATATTTACCTTGAAATGATATGTAGTAGTTAATGGTAGTAACTGATGCAGTTCCATTAAATGGAGAGTGAGACAAAGACAGTCCATAACTACTAGCTCTGACATTGAGTGATGTTCCTGATACTAAATTCCCATTGCCTACATACATGTACAGTACGTATAATAAAAAAGATGCTTTTGAACTATGTGATATCATTCTAGAGGATTGAGTCTGATGCAATGTACATGTACATATACTATGATTCGATCTGGTGTAATGAACTACAATTATAATACATTGAATGCATCTCCAGAGTCTGTCTGTACACTTTGCTATAATAACAAATTATTTCCAAAAGGATACCAGAATAACACAAAATGCATTTGAGTTCTGAGTGCTGCTGACTATAACATTATTTACATACAAATTGTACATGCGTACATGTAGTTTTAATTATCATCATACATGTACATGAAGTCATGACTCATGAACATGAAAAACATGACAAGAGAATGATAGATGTACATGTACAAGTATACTGTACAAATCTCACAGGAATCTCTAGAATCTTCTAGTATGTGTATATGATCATGTGAATTACATGTAGTAAGAATAATGTAGAATTCTTTTGCAGTTTTGCTCCCCATTGTGTCACCTGTAAAGCTTTCATTACTACAGTACAGCAGTTGTATTAGGCAGTCATGCATTATAGTAGATCCACAGTTATTATACATGTACATGAATAACTAACTTGATAGAGTGGATGCACTCACAAAGCTGCGACCAAAAGGACAAAAATTCCTAGCCTCATAGGATTTCAAGAGAGTCAAGTCTGTACGCTGGCGAAGATAATATAATCAAAGTAATAATTAGAAGAAACATTTCTTACATTTCTGTAAAAGCAAAGAGGCTGATAAGCATCAGAGCCGCAGGCTAATATTGTCTCATTGAGTGGTACAGTCTGGTTATTGTCCAGTGATAGGAGGGTATCTGTTGTTGGTATGTGTAATATGTGATGAAAGTTCTGACAATTTGCCTATAATGAACAAGGTTATGAATCATGAACTATTATCACCATTATGTACCAATGATTCAAATATAGCATTACTGGTTCTGCAAGTGTGTATCTTTGTAGCACTAGGTGTAGCATTCTGTGCCTATAATAGCAAACCAGACTAACAATACATTATTTATTATTTCACTAACATTTAATATAGTCTGTAGATCCAATGTCAAATGCAATATATTATTTCTAAAAAAATTAACACAATATTACATTAAAGATTGTATCATAAAATGGTATCTCATAAAACCATGAAGTACATGTACATGTAGCAATAGTAACAGTACCATTGGAAGTAAAGCAAAATTATGAGACTAGATCACTAGAGGGAGTTTAGGACACTTTTATTTGGTCTACATGTACATGTACATGTAGGTCTCCTACATGTAAGTCTCCCATTTTAGTTATTTCTATATCTACAATGCACAACAATAGCCATTACTGTCATAAACTCAACTGTTCTAAGAATACTGGCTCATTAGCAAAATTGCCAAAAACAAAGCTCCTTACATGCTTACAATGAAACTACAAGAAGTATCAATGCAATCAACTCACTTTGCAGCCAGTATAATGAGGTCACTAGCATAGTCAATTTTAAAGAGATCTACATGTATTGGAAGGATAAAAAAAGAATGGGTGAGAAAAAGACAAAATGCTGTAAAAAATTATGGGATACAAAATTAAACATGTGTGTACATTGTAATTGTACATCATATTATGGGATTCCCTCTTACTACAAAAAATGTAGAATGTACATGTACATATACATGTACATGTACTTGTGACAGCTAGATCTAGAGATACTTAAAACTTAAAAGTATGGACACTAAATAATATTCTGCTTTCTATGAGCTACTAAAATCCTTATCTGTGAATTAAACCTCTACAGTATCATTACATGTGGTGAAAACAATGTAAACTACACCAGACCCTTTATTTACTGTAAATAAAGGGTCTATGGCTATTCATATCTTTCCTGTGAATGACGTTTCCGATTTGTAATGATATTCATTTGGATACCGTAAATAGAAAAATTTTCAGGCTGCCATTGTGGAGGTATTGCTGCACTGTTTCCAATGGAGCTCGATACACTTTCAGCCGTTTTGTAAGAAGAACAAACAGTTATAGCCTCAAAAGTAAAAAAATTGCAACCTTTGTCTTTCTTTTCATCAGTCTGCAACTGTTTAGAGCCACTGGAGTGACGTGGAGAAGTAGAATTGACAGTTTTTAGCCTGTCGGTCCATTGTAGCTAATAATAGTATACCTCCACAATGGCGGCCTGAAAAATTTTCCATTTACGGTATCCCAATGAATTACAAATCGGAAACGTCATTCACAGGAAAGATATGAATACCTAGTCAGGCCGACTCAGGCGGAGCCAGAGATTACCCTTCTTTCTGCAGACAACCATGACAAAATTTACCCATTATGCTATTCCATTAATCACTATACCCATGAGGCTCTGCCTGACTATAAGCCAGCCTTAGCCCGGATAAGTTACATCTACTATAGTCCATATAGAATAAGATCATTATTTTACTGTTACCCTCATTCGTCCTCTAACGTACTGGTTAGTTCAATTTGTGGATGGTTCCAATAAGTGTAGTCTTGTGAATAACTAGTGGTTGCTAATAGCACAGGAATTAACAGAGCACATAGCCTCATGATCCACTGACACAAATTGTAGGAGTCAGTCACCACTCATCAGATGCGTAGTTACACATAATTGACTCGATGGTCACTTAATACTGCCACAGTGGTATGACAGCGTGGAAAAGCTTGAGCAAGACTGTATCCGTGGGATTGGAACTCTTCATGGGTCAATCATGGTGATGATTGACGACGCCATTATTGTCACCAAGGCGTTGCCACGTGGGCACATGTGGTTTGATTTGTAGTAAAAGTTAAAAATTAATTAAAAAATAACCAAAATTAATAATGAAAAACACTAATTTAAGTAATTTTGAAGAAAGTAAAACTTAATTAATGTAGTTCAAACAGTATAAAACCAGCTTATAAAATGGTAGAAAAAGGGAGCATTGTTGCTCATTGTTGCTACTTTTTTTTCAGAATCATAGCCTTACGTGGATAGAAAGATGTATCATCTTTTTCGATCTATGATATAACAGCACATACACATGACTAACATAATTATTCTAACCATGTCAAAAACTTGTTTCTCAGCAGCATTGTGATCTTGAGAGCGCATAGACTTCACATGAAGAGCAAAGTAAATGTAATTATAAATATTATGGTCATTACGATAATGCTCCTCAAACCCCTACAACACAATTGAAACTATCAGTAATAATAATGTCAAGTTCACACCTTTCCATTCTTCTCAAATTTATCACTAGCAATACCACAAACATAACATTTCTCCTTTTGATCTTTCTCAGCTTCATCCTAAACAATTTTTATTGTTATACTTTAATGTAATAATGCATCATCAAGTAATTAATCACCTTCTTTTGTCGCAGCTCTGAGAAAGTGTCCACTAGTATAGCAGTGATCACTTCAAGGGAAATTATTGTCACAATAACAAAGAATGACAGATCAATAATGGATCTCCAAAAGAAGATATTAAAGTTTCCTTCATTATTGCTAGTTAATTTGACAGGTAGAGACTATAAAATGACAAATATATTTATGATGTCAGCATCAAGTTATAATTTACTTACACCAAGTCCATCAAGAAGTCCTACTCTGATAATGGTAATGTAACAATGCCATAGAGTACTGCAGTAGTGACCTTCATCAGGATCAAAGAAATTGGACATTATAGCAAAAGAGAGGACAGCATAGATGAACAGAACTGACAATATGACAAAAGCCATCAGTAACAGTTGCCTATCTATATTAAAATTAATTGGTAAACTTGTATACAGTTGATAATTCTTACATCTCTTTCTTAAAGCTGATGCTACATAATGAGAAACATCAAAATTAATGAACACATAAGGTAAGCAGAGACAGTACAGGTATCCAAATGTTGCAAGACTACCAATGGAAGACCACAAAAACACTATCCTGTATATGAGACCGAAGCTTAGAAAAGAAACTTCAAAGCAATCATATGATTGCTTCACTTTAAAGCGATGAAAACATTTCTCATTGTTTTTATACCTAAGTAATTATAAAAATTATCATTATACTATTATTCTTTGTGAAATAAAAATTTTGGGGAAAATAATTTTTTGCAAAAAAGCCAGTTTTGTGGTGTGGTCAGTACAGCTGTCTATATATAAAAAAGAAAGTGTCAGACATTTAGCTTTGTATCATGCATACTGTTGAGTGATTCTAAATTATTGTTAATAATTGACACACTTTTAGCAAAACATTTACAAATTTCACAAAAATACCACCATTGCTGTACAACCCCCAAATCAAACAGTAATACTAATTTTATCTATAAGTTTTGCACCACTATAGATTTATATGCTATTGTACAACCATTACCGTAGGGCACCTTTTTTTGAGGGCTATAAACTTCGTGGATTTAATTTTCATGAATTTATGCCGTCTGCCATCTTGTATCGTATTATTTTGATTTTTGTGGAAGTAATTTTTATGAATTTTTTAAAATTGCGAAATCCATGAAATTTATAGCCCTCAAAAAAGGCATCCTACAGTATACTTTTGTAACTAGAACACTTTTGATCACTAAGTTTCTTTTGATCACAAGTGTGCACTCATAGCAACTACACGTAAGCAAAAGCATTAAAAATTATTATTATGAAATTAGGGTTTGCCCACTCAATCTTTTAGTAACCTGTCCAACTTACAATCTATCTGGCAAGAATGGAATAAAGATGACAAAATTAGGAGCTCCTCTGACAAAGTATTCAACTACCATCCACAAGCTCAGTATAACATGGAAAAATCCAAAAAAATAAAGTAAAACATAATAATAAGTTGACCAACACATCCAAGGATATGGAATTAATAAAAGGCTACTGATTTCAGAGCTAGTGTTGCCGGATTTATCACTATAAAAGAATAAAAAGTATATGTATGCACCATTGTAATAACTATCATTACCAGGCTAGTGATGGCACTTTGAAAGATCCAAGAATAAAAAGATTGAGTACAATAGTCAATAAAAACAGGATTTGATGGCGTGGTGTCCTTGAAATGTTCATAAAAACATTAATGAAGATAAATGTGACTTACGAAAAAAAGGTTGCTATTTTCCAAATATAAAATTTTTGCAGGCGTCTCTATTATATGCAATGTTTGAAGTAACAAAATACAATAATCATACTTTGTGCTCATCACTCTTATAAACAGACTTTGTCCATTTCATAAGGTCTTTATTTCTATCTTTTTGAGAATCTCTGCTCAATTTATCTTGCATTTCAGACTTCTCATTGTCATTTAGGGTTCTCTGTTAATGAAAACAAAAGTTAAAAATAATGAAAACAATGCTAAACATACTTGCTCTTGAAAAGGGAAGTAGACTGATCTTAAAATTTTATCTTTTTCTTTAGTAACGTAATTTATTTCAATTCTGTAAGTCCCTTCGTCTAGTTCATTAAATAATTTCTCATCTTCTTCATTAAACTCTTTTAATTCAACTACAAGAATTTAAACTCTATGATAACCTTAATTGTCAGTACCAAATTTGGTAAATTCAGTATGAGTATGCTCAGCTAGACTCCTTAATACATGATATGCTTTGTACATGCCATGTTCCAGCATTTCTTTTGATTCTCTTTCAAAATTTATCTTTTTATAAAAAAATTAATACATTTGACAGAAATATGTCTTACTCTTTGGTGGATTCTTATAATGAAGGTAGTCACAACATTTATATTGAGGTCTTTAGATACTGCATCAATGATGAAACTGCTATCTTTACTAGTTTCTTCAATTATAATTTCTAATAAATCAATAGCTTTACACTGTACTTTGATAACACTGGTATCCTATGAAATTATTTACAGTAATATAGTTTAAAAATGCATTTACATACTGATAATGACAAAATGTCATTAATGGAATCCACAACTTGTCCATTCAGTGCCATATGCTGATTACTGAAGTTACCAGCACACATATCAATAAGGCACTATGCAAATCAGTATTGAGTTTACATCATTATTCTTGCCACATACTTGAATTGTCTTCATGAGAGTGTCAATAACAGGATCACTTTGTTTTGCTTCCACTAATGTTTGCATCAGAGCAGCTACTCCACTAATGACATTAACACTCTAATAGTTATATAGTAATAATTATATGAAACCAAATTCTGTTTAGCTCACTGTCAACAGTTGTTCCTGTTTCTTCATTATTGCCTGTAGCTTTCTGTTCTGTCCATCACAAAGTCCTGATATTAAAGTCAATGCAATTCCAGCTCTGGTAAGAGCACCATCATCCTAAATACAGTGAGAAAGAGAAGACTCAATATCATTCTATAATTTTACAAACCAAATCAACAGCAGATTCAACAGCAGATTTTACAGCAGATTCTTTTGTCACATCTAGAGAAATAATTGAAGATTTTGTGCACTAAAATATTCAATATAATTATCACTTGGGCTTTCCAGAAATGATGTGTCTTGGATCATTGGTAACAAATCATCACTTAATTCCTACAAATAATAATACACTGTACAACATTATACTATATTATCTTACTGCATCTGGTTGTTCTTGCTGTTCAAACACTATGTGAGTTTCACCCTGTATAACAAAGATATGAGGTATAATTACATAAAGTAAAGGATTAATTATGGAAAGGGCTGCTTGCCTGGTGATGAAATTGAGAAAGCTCTTGTTTTTTTAACTGTGTCTATAAAAAATAGGTGCAAAATATTAATTGTAAAAACAAATCTCTTTAATGCCTTAAAAAGAACTCTTACAGAAATTAATTATCAACTATTTAATTGTAGCATTAATACTTACTTCATTGGATTCTATAGTCAAGAACTCCCTATTAAAAATTACAACTTGAAGCCATAAGTATGATATTTTTACTTTGTTTGATCATTATATTGCAGCAAAACAGATATCAGTTTGTGAATTGTGAGGAAAAAAACTGGATCTTCAGAAATGATAACATATATAGCATCTTGAGCAGTTTTATTTTCATTATACACAAGAGCCCACAGTATACCCAGTATTGGCAATGACAGTGGAATATTGTCACGAGTGAGTTGCTTCAGAATCTATATAAAACCAGTATCATTAGAAAGTAACAAAAATTAATAAAAAGTAGTGTTTAACAAACCAGCTCTTGGTATTTTTTGTCTATAAAGTCATTTTGAACTTTTTCCGCTACTTTCCTGCAATAATTCAAAAACCATTATTATAAACACTTAAACATGCAACAAAAATGATTGAACAAACTTACTTATCCCAACATCTTTGGTCCATCAATTTCATTTTGTGATAAAATATACCAAAAATAATTTGAAAGGTTCTCATTGCAGTAAAGTGTGTAGATTCTATAGCAGCAGTACTTTGAGCTTGATAATATATTACACTAAAATATGGCAAAAAAGAAAGTACATGTACATACAACAATAACATAAAACCAAATCTTTTCACGTACTTCAAAAATTTCTCTAGCAAATCTGGAGTACTACAAAACAATGATAATAATAGACTACTGAAATAATACATACCTATCATTAGAAAAAAATTCAATTAACATTGCAAAAGAAGCACCTCTAGGCATCAGTTCTTCAGAGCATAAGAGGTCTATAATGATTTCAATCATCAAAATGAAAATGAAATAAAAATAACCTCTACATGGAACAATGCTAGAAGGTGGCTTCAATTCGTAAATTGTTCTACATCTTTTTATGAAGTGTTTGTAATTTTTCATTAGTTTCAGCTGATCTTTCAATTCAGTTTTATATTTGATGACTTCTTCAGAGTCACTATCCTTATAATCATCAGTCACACACTATGTACATTAACATGTAGATTATGTGAATAGAGACATTGAACACACTCACATGATAAATTGTTCTAACAGGTAAAGCGTTATCAATTGATTCAAGAGTGTCCCTCCAGAAATTGCATTGATCCTGAGTAGTTATCAATATCTTTTTGTATTTCACTAATAATTTCTAAATATCATTTAAACAAAATTAATAATACTGCACAGTACAATTTTACTTTTAAATTTTTGCCAAGATCAGAAAGCACCTCTTTATTTGTTACTTCTGTGCCTAGGGACTTTTTCTCAATCATGATGCTATACTCTTCCTCGGCTAATTTATCATTTTTAAGTAAAGCCAGTGCATTGCAGAATGTTTTCACTAATGGACCAAGTCCTTCAACAAAGTAGCGAAGAGTAAACATATCTTTTCTCTCTTTTTCTTCAATTTCAGTATCATCATCAATAAATTGAGGATTAAATACCTCATTCCAAGTCTGCAAATAATCAATTGTAGTATACTACTGATTGAAAGACTTGTTACACTCACTTCATAATATTCAAACACTTTCTTTATATATATTTTCATTCGAATTCCCTTTTCTTCATCTTTAAGATCAATTTTTGATATAGCCGTAGTAATATTTTCAATATGCTTCCAAAAGTCACTAAGTAATAATAAAAGATTATGCAACAGAGTAGTTTACTCACTCATATTCTGATATTTGGTGAACTGATGTGATTGAGTCAGTCTCAGTGTCAAGATAAGCTCCAACTAAAAGCCGAGCAAATGGTATCTTACGTACAATTGCAGGAATATCACTGGTAATTATACTAGAATTAATAATAATTAATAATAATGATAATTGACAACGAAGTGCTTAACTAACCCTACTAGTTCCTTTAGTGGAAAGATATCACGAATTCTAACTTCAACTGGCTTCACACGTCCAACACAACAAGTAGCTAGTAAACTAGTCACATGAAGTAATTTCAGCAATTCGAAGTCGTCATTAGGACTCTATCAAATGCAGTATTAATGTCCACTGACCAAAGCTTACTTTTTTGAGAACAATGATTCTTCTCGTTGACAGGGCACTTGCATCATCATCCTTCATAACAATTTCACCAAATTGATCAGCATAGTTTGCATGATATAACTTTATAATGTATTGCTGGTGCATTTCAAAAGCTGCTTTAGTAGCTTTATAAGGCTGTATAGCATTATAAGTTGATTAAAAGCATCTATAAAAGAATAATACCTTCATTATGGCTTCCAGAACAGTTAAAAACTCCAAGCAACCTGGTCCATCTTTCGTCTGATACATGTCACCACTATTAAACGTACATGCTACAGTGTATAACTCTTCCAGATATGCTTCAGTTACTTCACAGTAATTATTAGTAAATACCTAGATACAATTATAAAATGCTATCATCAAATTAATCTTACTTCAGTCAATAATCGTGCTACAGAAGAGACAGCAATTGTGGTTCTTTTAAAGTTTTTACAGGCGTTACGAATGTGAGTCTGAATCTAAAATGTAACATTGTATTTTATATATAAATTGCCAATTTTGCTTTTCAGTTTACACACTTCTTGATTTTTTCTACAGACTCTTTGAAGAAGAGAACATGACCACTTAAGAATTTCCCTCTGACTTTCGTCATGTTTCTTACAATACTTATTGACATAGTCCAACAAAATTTTACATAAACCTAAAGTAATCATACAAATATATGTAGTTGCAAAATTATTTATAATAAATAATTGTACATGAACTACAATCGCAAAATAATACAATTTGCATTAAATATACCATACTTGATGAAAAGGCAATATCTTGAGTGGATTTGTTTGGTTCTGTTTCATCTTTTTCAATCATCATTGCTATACATAAACCCTCGATAACTAGTTTCAAATCATTTTCTAAAGTAAGAAACAAAGTCATTTATAGCCATCATTAAATTGCTCAAATGTAATGATATAAATGGCATAAGATTACCTTTAGCAATTCCTTGTGACAATAAAAAGAAAGCTTTCTTGTTATCATTAAAGGTGCTATACTTGATTATATCAGCATAAACAGTTTCTGTACTTTTAGCTGCAATATAACTCACGCCAGCTTTATTGAACATAATATGCTCCTTCTATAGCAAGTAAAGATTCGAAAATAATTATTTCATTACATAATATTGCATATACATCATAGATGCAATAAAGCAAAGTGGCAGCAGAAGATTTAAGGTCATCAAACTTGCAATTCATCAGACGTCTTAGAATTTTTACAAGTTTCTGTTCAGTAGTCACATCAAAATATTTGTACTCATCAAATTCATACATGTTACTTAATTGTTTGCAAAATCTAATGACAGATTTACCATCAAATTAAAATACACAAACTCAATTTAATCACTCACTGACTAGTCTGATCAGAGGTCAGCTCTGGAGCATTGTCATTTAGCAAAAAATGCCACAAAAATTCTTGATTATTACATTCCGAAAAGAAATACAAAAATTTCTAAAAAAACACGTAAATATACTGCAATATAACAAAACCAAAAAAATACTATTGTGAATCAGGTAATTTTATAGGGTTATAATTATAAATACCAAATTTTTGAGGTGAGAAATTTGCAAAATTTGTCTAAAACTTATTTTAGCAAAATTAAACTGTGAACCGTAATAAATTGATTATTGTTAAATTAATTTTTGCAAATCCTCAAAGAATCGCAAAATCTATGAAATCTATGACCTTCAAAAATTTTGAGCTGTAGAGTATACAGATTTGAAAATTTAAGGCTTATTGACACTGCATGCACACTTAAGGCATAGATAGTATAAAGTAATACGTTAAGACAAGAAGTGCATTATAAACCATATTGAGCTAGGTTAACTGTGGTCAATGCCTTAGGCCATGCCAGTTTGATTCATAGTTTGTTCCTTCATAGGGGGCTGATGTGGGCAACCGGCTTTATTAATATTCATTACATTTCAATATAAATTGATGTGTAGAAATAGTCAAATAATAATAATAAAGTAATAATAATAATAATAATGATAATAATAATAATAATAATAATAAGTTTCAAAATAATAACAATAATAATAACAATAATGATAACAACAATAAAGACTTAGAAGGGGAAAGGAAAAGAGAAACCAAGAAAGAGGAAAAGAGAAAGTACAGAAAATACTTAATTTCAGATATGGGCATATGTAGGCAGGAAAGGAAAAACAATGAATCTAATTGGAATGGCCTTATATTACACTTCCTGTTTTAACTTCATGCTCTACTCTACGTTAATGTTAAGTATGCAGTGTGCTGTACGTGTAAATCATTGCTGGAAATATTCAAAAATTTGCTGCTTATATATTGATTGTAGAAAAGAAAATATTCACAATTCTAAATAATATGCCTCATTGCTATGCAAAATTACTATCATGTGAAAGAAATCATTATTTATGGTAATACTCTTGGTAATACACATAATTTATAATTACCTCAAGAGCAAGATATATGAACTGCTTAAAAAATATATCTATCACTTTAAGAGCCCTATAAAAAACTATAATTAGAAAGAATATAATTTATGTCATACTTAATCATTAAAAGTCTATATCCTGGGTTTGGTTCATGACAGTCAGAGTTAGCAACATCTAGAATAATAAATTCTTTATTTTTTGGTGCAATAGCAATACACACAGCAAGTTTGGTACAAGTACATTATGTCTACATGTATTGAAAATTCTTATCAGAGTACTCAAATGTTATGCATACAAAAGGGGCATCATTATCATAAATGCAATCAATATTGAAATTGTTTTCGATACAATTTTTATCAAAGCAAATGCACTATATTTGTATACAGCAAATTTTATTTCAAAATTTAGGTGCTTTTAATTAAAATTAGTCTTCCTTCATTATCTAATGGTCAGAAATATAAAACTTAGTTGGACAGTTACCTTTATATTCAGTTTCAATTTTCTCTAAAATATCAACAATGGTGTCAATGCTGATGTACTTTGTTGCTTGACCAACATTCCAGCAGTAACCATAATTAGCAATGAGTTCTACAACAGCTAGCATTTGATTAAAGTATTCTTGAGTTTCACTAAGACGTAAATTCTATACACAATAAAAATTAATTAATTCTGTAATTTTTATGTATAACTTACACTTTCCTTTGATAGCTCTGATTCTATGATAACCCAAAGTTCGCTCACTTTTTCATGATTTTTAAATTGTTTCTTTACAGATGTAAGTAGGTTAGGTGTTACATTAGTGCCATAAAGTGGCTCTTTGTTTTTATGGTTTAACTTCTCCCATAGCTAAACATAAAATAACAAGGTACATGAATTGTAAGTTACACACAGAGACATTGCAAATAGTCAACTAAGCATTTTTTTGTCACTTAAAATTTATTCTAAAATCACTGTTATGCAAGAATAATAAATTACCAAACAATATTGACAAAAATTAATATCATGCGAACTATTTGCATGCATAATCTTTAGTCAGTATGCCTTACAAAGCAATGCCAGATGCCATCAATATCAACTCCACTGTTCTGTATGATCTCATCCAAATAAAGAGATGTGACTAATTCCAGATAAGCTGCTTTGGCTAATGAGTGAACGTTAGGATCCTTCAAAACAATAAGTGCTTGGTCAATGGGAAACCATTTAGTAACTGTAGCAATAGCAGTTTCATTGACACCCTAAAGACACTTTATATAATCATAATACTACTTTAAGCTAACTTTACAAATATGACTTAACAGGGAAACTTGAGCCACAAAAAAACTAAAGCCCTCACAAGTAGATGCTGCCTATAATAAGTAATAACACAAAATTAATTCACTGTTATTTTTACTCTTCCATTTTTGTCTACTCTCTCACTCTTCTCTTACAGCAGAGCAAAGATTTGTTTTGTTTTCTTCATCATTTGTCTTCAAAAAGTATACCACTTGATTCCCATTTTGAATAGCATTAACTAAAATAATATTTGGGATTTCCACATGTAGAACAATAAATTTCTGATTAAAAAATACCATCATTCCCAATTTTTGTCCAGTAGAATGAATCCTACACAATTTGCATTATAGTAATTGTAAAGCAAAACACCTACCATATTTTCCATTACAAGCTTCAGAATAGAATCTAATTATTTTAAAATAAATTTATTAATAATTTTTACTTATGACACCTTGAAATTTTTTTTCTGGGCAATCTTCAGTATAGCAGAGAACTGAAAGCAGCTTCAAAGTTCTGACATCCTATTATTAGATAATTTTTTAATGATAGCTAATCAAGTGTTAATTACATAAAAATGTACTCAAATGAAAACTCAATAATTATATGTATTTTTTTTGTTTAAATTCATTTTTGGCAATGAAGTTTTTGTCATTTCTGTTATAAATTCATTCACATACTACCAGCATAAAAGAAAAATTCTGTCAATCAAAAATTGCATAAAACAAAAATGCCTGAAAAATTAATGACCGACAAAATTTGGAGCCATATGGCATACAAGTACTGATAACTGTTTGCTAACCAAGTGTTGGCTAAAATTCCAAGAAGAATCTTTTAATTTATCACCAAAATGTTCAACAACATTTTTTGCAATGTCACTGTATGGTATATAAAATTGATATCATTTTTAATAAGTAAGAAATTGTTGTGGCAGTACCTTTCATCATTAACAAGCTTTATCAGCAAAGCTTCAACACCTAGTCCTTTGCCAAGCTATAAAAGAAAGAATATGGAGATGAGAGAGAAGGAATTTGACAAAAGAGAGTACTGGTGTTAGCGTATTCCCTTAGAAATTATCTTACCTTTTTAAAATAAATATTCATAAATGATCGCTTGGCTATATAACATTTTGAGCGACGACTTCTAACATTAACAATCTCTTTTAATGTCTGACAAATTAGCTTTAATAAACTTTGTGTTCTGTCTTGAGGATCCAGTTCAAGATAAGAGACAAGTACATCAATGACCTTTGATCGAATAGCATTAACATGTCAATTAACAACTCCTAACTCCTCACAACTTACTTTTGAATTGCACAGCATTTTGATATAAATCCTTAAATTTTGAGGTGGGCTATTTCTAAGCTTCCTCATCAAATCATTCAGTGTAGATTCCAATTCAACTAGTGCAACACCACTCTTTTGCTAAAGATAAAAACATAACAAAAATGTTGCTAATGTCTGTTGATACATTAATTACAGGGTTTCCCAAAGTGCTCATGCAGCTTCTAGTCTCAGGTTACTCAAAAAATTGGATCAAAAACCCTGTAATACACTAGACAGGTACCTGATCAACTTAGTCCTATAATTATTTATTTCTATAACTTTTTTCTAATACATACCTGTTCTTATGTTGTGTAGAAAATTTGAACTGATTCTAATTAAAATTGGATCTGTTATGAATCTTGAAAGTTGCTCAAAAATTGAGCCAAAACACCCAGTGCAAGGACTTTGGCCAAATTTTGTCAAAAATTGCTAAAAGAGATTTTTCGTTTTTATGAGTTTTTCTGATATATACATGTACTTATTTTGTGTAGAAAGTTTGAGCTGATTCTAATCAAAATTGAATGTTTTATGAATTTTTACAGTTGCTCCAAAAGTCATGGCACTATTGTACATATATAGTGCTTGTCAGTTCATGAAGCATGCTGCTCAACTCACTTAGCATGCTTTGTGGAAAATCCTAATTAGTTAACTCTTGCAGTACAAGGGCTATAAATATTCACAAATTTCAAGACTTTTGGAATAATTACGATTTATCAAAAATAAACTTATTAAAAATAATACATATTATTGTTTAAACTTGTACATGTACATCAAAATGATTTTTAGGAGGGTGCAGAATACTTTTTTAACAGGTGGACTAGGTGCACAAAATTTAGAGCCAGCAATAATCATGCACTGCATATGGTAAAACTCTAATGACCACTAACTTTTGAAAGATACTTGTCAAGAACATCCTTGACACTCTCAACATAATAAAGATCATGAATGTGCTTTGCTTTGACCTGCAATTTAAAAATACATCAAGTTCAGAAATTTTCTAATGAAATGTACCTCATCAATCTTGAAAGCACTTCCTGCAACACTTAAGGATATCTGTAACAGAAAAAAGCATTTCATTACATGATAAAGAAATATGATAGCAATTTCGAAATACTAACGGCCTATTTGTACCTTAAAACTTTTTGTACCGCTTGATTTCTTCTCAAAATTCTTTCTAGGCCAACTGCATTCTCTGTCTATGTCATGAATAGTTAATATTAATAAAAATGGAGCTGTAGTATTACCATCACAACACAAGTACTGGCAATCATCTGCAATACTCATAGCAATCCTAACAGCTGAACCTTTAAGAATATCACCAGTTACCTGTAATAGATATTAGAGGGATGGAAAACAAAAATGGAAACAAAAGAAAAAAAGAGGAATAGATAGTCAGTTTAAATCCTATCTTACATTATCATCAAGAGCTGTTTTAACAAAAAAATTATAATGAAGTTTTTTAGTTTCAAGTTCTGATATACTCCCTAAAGTAAACTAGAAAAAATTAAACCGCATTCCTTTAATACTGTTAACATACTTCATTAGAATCATCATGTGCTAGATACTTTAGAGTTGGTATGTGTCTCAAACGACACCGATCATTATACTTGAATCCATTACCTATCCACACATTATGTAATAATTACAATTGTTCTCATCAATAAATACTATTGGAGCCTTCTTCTTTTTTACTTACCATCCAGAGGTTTATCTGACTTTTCTAATTGCCACCAACAGTCACCAGACACAGGTGGAGGCCTAGGAACTTGTAACGTCCTTTTCTTTTTAGCATACACTAAGTACATGTACAATAAATATACATGTAAGGTGGGAAAAATACCATATATGTGAAAATTTTCAAGAGGATAAATTTTCACGAATTTTGCGAAACGTGGGGTCATTCGCAAAATTGAAATACGCAAAATTAATTTTAACTCTCCAAATTAATACAAAGTGGTGACACTTCAAAACAATTTGCTAAAATTTGGCCTCAAGAAATCCTATAAATTTATCGTTCGCAAAAATTTATCCCCTTGAAAATTTTTACGCATAGGGTAGTCAAATGAACAAAAAACCATTTAACGAAGATATAAACTGACTCACACAAGGATTTTCTAGCACCAGACATGTAATATTAATAGTAATAATCATTGTATAATTTTTTTGATTTTAATCAACCATAGCCAGCAAATAAATATATGATTTTGGGACAAGCGTTGAGAGTTTGTTTAGATATTATTAATAACTAAATTACTATTAGTTTCTGCAAAATTCAGACTTAAATAATGGCATGTGATTTTTAGTAGTGCTTACCTTCATCCTTGCCATCTTCAAGTACGACACTAGACACTGTTGATCCTTGACCACACAAATATGACCCATTTGTAATGTCATAAAATCTCACAACACTTCCTCCCTATGTGTATGCATACACAATCAAAAATTCATTGCATGACATACTGATTACTGTATAGCTCCATATTTCAAATTTAATGATTTTATGGAACACTGGATATCATCAATAAATTTTGTGTAAAATAACCAACATGTGCAGTTGTTATAATGGCAACTTGTAGTTTTTATGATTAAAACTCTTTATCATAATAAAAATCACAAGACTATTTCATCATTAAATTTTTGGAAAATTGCTTTTCTGCCAAAAATGGCTCTAAAATCACTTCCAATTTTCATTGTGCATGTTGATGCCCTTATGCTGTGTAGAAAGTTAGAGGTAATTCCGACTTAAATTTTTCAAGTTTATTACCATTTAAAAAAATTGAGCCAATTTCTGAAAATATCCTGTATTATAATAGCCCATCATTTATTTTAAAAAAAGAATCCAAAATCACCCTCCAAATTTTTTGATTATATTGATATCCTCGTGTTATATGGAGAAAATTTGAGTTGACTCTAATTAAATTTTTGAGTTACATTGCTATTTTTAAAAATTAGCAAATTTCCAAAGAAAAGCAAAAAACTATAGTTTGTTTTTTTGAATGATGGCTTTTCAATTGTTATTACATGTTTTAATGCAGATTGATACCTGTGTTAGCTTTGACTACCAATTCAGAATGATAATACTATGCTGTGCAATAAGCTTTCACTTACCCTAATGGCAGTTGGAGACAGAGTTTCATCACTGACAGTCTGTGAATGAGCAATGAACAAAGAACTTGTCACAGCCATTTTTAGTTCAAATCTAATAAATGCAATGAATATCATTCAATTAATCTTGCTAACTGCTGCTGCCTCTCAATGCAGTAGTATACAACCAATTACCTATTAGTGATTATATTTTTGACACACAAGACATGACGATGCTCTTTGTTTACGACAACTTCAAGAACCAAAGAGTCTCCTGAGTGAATCTAAAATAAAAAATAATAAGTACATAAATATGCATACACTAGTTCTGTGTCTTTAATAATCATTATTATTACAATTAATTTATTATTATTATTATTGAAACTATCTGTTTGATGTCAATAATATAAATGAGGTTTTCAGATTTCAAAATTCTATAAACACCTATAGGAGGTGTTTCTCCATTATTAAATAATGTTTTTGATGATTACCACAATAATGATGACTTCATACTGCACAGCCTAAATTTCAAATGGCCCAAAATTTTTGAAAATTAATTAGCAGGAATATGCTTTTTTGCCACTCAGAATTGCAAGTAGCATGAAAATAGCATGATGACCAAAATGAAAATACCATATAAAATTTTCTAATTAATGAAGACTTACAGGGTCACCTCGGGATTTATTTATGGATGATGGAGGTGAAAGCATTTTAAATAAACATGGTTTCTCATCAAGAATTGCCTATCAAAAACAAGATTCATGTAGCATGCATAAATAAAAATGATACACTGACTGGTTTAGTTTCAGTCTGTGAAAAGTTGAGGTACTTTCCTGAAGCAAGATGTAGCAGCTAAAAAACAAAAAAATTACTTTGTGCTTGAATATTAAAGTTTGTGACTTTGATTGACTAAAATAGTGGTCATGTATAATATATTTGCAATATAAATTTTGTCTACAATATCGATTAATAAAATTTTTGTAGCTTAATGGTTACACTATGCAAATTGCAAAAAAAATTGCATTTTAGTGTGCTGAAGCTTTACTTTAATTTTTCTTCCATAAACTAATTCACGATGCAAATAATTTCTATCTTCAGGCTATGCAGAAAACAAAAATAATTAAAACGATTTAGTTAGATTATGTACCTTTGTTACCAAGAGTGGAGACACCAATTTTTCTCTAATGAAAGGATACTGTAATATTTATAGTACAAGGCAACATGTTGCAAATAATACTACATGTAGTTAGGGTGGACAAACAGTTAGCAAAATACATACAGAAAAATGATAGAGCTTTCAAATATTTTTTGCAACTAGATCTATACTGCCTTACAAAACAATGTCGTAAATACATGGTCTGCATGGTAGTGTCATATACTTGTAGTAGACTAGGATAAAAGGTCACTTATATAGGAAGTTATGAAAAATAATTATAATAAAATGAGGATTATTTTAATTGTATTTAGAGTAAGTATTGTCCAAACATCTGCAATATGCATTGTAATATAAGTAAAAATATTAATTGTAAGTTAAGCATTTACAAGCTGTTTTGAAAATAATGATCAAAATTAATTTAAGATGATAAAAAAATATCATTTGATTTTTAAGCCCAAATAACCCTTTGTAGAGTAAGTGAACCAGTATCAGAGGGCATTTAGCTCCAAAAACTCAAAAAGTCATTACAGAGACAATATATAGGCTACTGTAATGTTGACTTATAATATCCACTCTTAGATACTCATGAACCAGATAATACTGAGGCACTTACTTAATTTACACAACTTAAAAAATTAAATGTATGTTGAATCATTTTACTATTGTCATGCATGCTTGGATAAAGACAGCTATTCATTACACATGCTAAATCCAATTATGGTTATAGTAGACTAATGGGACTTACTGTGCATACTCAGGCAGAACCTGGAAAGCAATGCCTACAAAGAAACAAAGAAAAGGCAATCTAGATGCCTTTTCAGTTGTGTGCTCCAGTAGCTATATAAAAGTAAGATCTTACAGTGAACATTCGGATTAATCTCCTCATCATCAGGATACACACTAAGTGTACTGTATCGTGAACTGTACAAGACAGAAAGTATAATATTGGCCTGAGAATTAACATTAATACTTACCAAGGAGGCAAAGAATACACAAATCCCCTAGCTTCAGGGCAAGAAAGGAGGATAGTGTCACCCTCGTAAAGAGAGGCCATCACTGCTGCAACTAGATTTCAGACTAGCACGCCCAGATTTATGATAAGCGGCTCGCCCCTCAAAATTTGTAATAGTAAAGACAGTGCTTTCAGCTCATCAGGTTGCTTCCTAGTAAGTGTTAATGTTAGATTATGACATGCATTAAAAATGGTGAGAATCACGTGATCAATTATAACAAGGTTAAATTATAACAATTATAACAAAGGTAATCAATAACTAGATCAACTTAAGTATTAGTCTAAAACCAATCATTTGCTTGACAATAGTGGTTCACGATATGCTGCATAAATGTCATGCACTTCTGGTAAATTCTGTTCATCGTTACAATTATTATCATTATCATCACCATTTCCTGCTGCTCCATAATTATTAATATTACGTCCTCTAAGCAAGACTGAATTGTTGCTTCTACAGTACATCTTGCATGATTTATAGCAGTGGTACGCTATGATGCAAATAGCTACAATCATAGCTGCACTCACAAAAATTGCACTGCTGTATCTCAGTACCTTTGTCTGGCCTTGCGTGTACACAACAGAAAATGATATGAAGCAATAGTTGAGCATGAAAAATAAATCAAGTGCTCCAATGGCCTTGTTTTTAAATGGATGGAAAAAGGACTGGACAAATGAAAATCCTAACAGAAGGACAAGTTGGATGCCTTGTGAGAGCTTAACATCAGTCCCTCTAAGAACAGCATCTGAGATGAAAGCAGCTGCTAGAAGACATAAACGAGCACCAAACCAGAATCTCCACTTCATCTTGTATGGTGCAAAAACAGCATCAGTAAGAGGCATGAAACGGTTGATGATTCTGTAGCGATTAAGGTATGGTGATAATGTTGTTAGTACAGTAAATGGAATGATAAAGAGACAGAGCATTGTTAACGAGAGGAACATAGGTATCAAATGCAATCCTTTACCAAATTCTAATTGGCCATTTAAAAACCAGACTAACAACTTCTTGTTTTTATTTTCTCCCACTATTTCATTTGTTGTCACTGTAGCTGGAGTGAGTATATCAACACTTGAGATAAATATCTTAGAGTATGACAAGTAAACTAGTGTGGCCAATACTTGAACTGACTGTCTACCAGTTATTCTAGCTAACCTAATAGAGTAACGACTTAGTATGATTATCAGTATCACAATCAACCAGAGATAAACTGGAAACACAAACTGTAGGCATCTCATTACCAGTTCATTCATACCATTATAAAAGCAGAGTGGAAAACCAAGGCCAAGATTAAACAATGAAATAAATATTCTCAAGTATTTAATTGGAACTTTATGGCCAAAAAGATAACCATCCGTACTTCCAACAATATTAACATAAAAGATGAGTCCATTAATGGTTCCAGTAGTGAGAGTGAGCTGGAGAATGAACAATAGAAACACCAAGCCTATTCCGGCAATAGCAAAAAGCAATATTGTAGCTAAGTAAGCATTTGAGCACTTTTTGCAATCTGCAGTACCAAAAACAACACTCAAACCATCTGGACAATCACCACACAGTGTCCCACTTCTGTTTCCATAGCACATGTCTTTTGACGGATCAGTAAATGAGACTTTTGCTGTGTTAGTCAGGCAGTATGATGGAGGGCAATTAGAAGAATATCCAAATACTTCAGCATTATTTGATAGGTGACCAATCCAGCTGTCCATAGGCCTGTTTATGACTCCTTCTTGAAGGTCACAGGAGAAGTCAGTGAAATCATCATATACACAATTGCATGAGCTATTAGCCGAGTAGAAACCAGGAGGACAAGAGGTCAGAGTTATATTAATTGTGTACCTAGGAGTCTCTGTGTAAGGTCCAATATTCAGCAATACATTATTTATTGGATAACTGATTTCTGATCTATTGATTGAATGATATATAGTGTAGCTCAGAAGTGAGCATTTGCCAGCTGGGATCTTAGTAATAACTTCATTAGGGTCTAGCCTAAGAGAGGTAACTCCTTGTATACCGTGAGAATAAAACTGCACTGTCACCAACGAATAAACAGATACTTTCTGTCCTATATCAAAAGCAGCAACAGAGATGGTAAGTTTCTGTCCAGGATGAGCAGTTTTCAAGATGTATGTGTAATTACTCGTACAAGAGCTGGGATAATTACTGCAATTACATATTTGTGTAGCAATAGAAGAAATGTCTTGTGTAGCCTCTGGAGCACTACCATTTACTTTGAAGGTGTTCTCAATGAGAAAAGTCAAATTTTGAATATTGGGGTCTAATTTTGCTGAATTTAATTTGCAAAACTTTAGCGGTGATGCATATAGTGCATTGCCAGCAAGCTCTGCTTTGTTATCAACCATTTCCAAGAGTATCGACATTTTAGTATAATTACTAATATCATAGTAATCCTTGGGATAATATTGCAATGCACAATCCAACTCATTTTCAGTAACAGCATTTATAGCAGCTCCCAATAGTCCTCTGTTATGAGTGAAAATAGCATGAAGAGGCTCATAGAGAAGTAAGAGAGATGCGTCTTTGAGTCTCATCGCTCCATAAGTCTGGACCTCATTTCCACTAAAGATTATATAGCCTTTCAATGCAATTCTTGAGTTTACTGAATATATGACAGAAGATCCTTTGTTATTTGAAAAGGTACCATTCACAAACTCTACATTTAGTAAATTAAAGAAGGCAAAAACACCAACATTGTGACAGGAATATATACTACCACCAACTGTACAGTTGAAATCACTAGCAGTTACATCAATAAGTTGTATTCCAAGCCCCACGTCAGACATTGCTTTGTTCAATGCACTTGCAAACAGTGCCATAGCTGACCCTCTTGGTGATCCAGACTTTGACTGAAAATAAACCTTATTCATTTTAACAGTAAATATCCGCGAAGCTTGAGGAGCTTGAATTACAGTAATTTCAGCATAATTACCAATACTGTTAGCATCCTGGCATCTCAGAGAAGGATTCTTGGTACCTATGATTCCATTATTAATAATGAGAGGAAAAGCTTCATTATCTTGAAGTGTTGGTGTCTTTAAATCAAAGAAAAAGAAATATACCATTAGAGATTGAGCAATAGCATTATTATAATTGGTTGGATCAGTTGCACAATTATTCTCAGCTGTCAAGTTGCTTATGGTGATGTTGGAATCTTCGACATCAATGAACAGCATAGTTATACCACCAGCCTGTAGTGCTGTATTGTTAGTAATAAGAACATCATTCATTACTATTTCAATAACGTTAGAACCAGCTTCTCTCAGTATAACACTCAATCCACTCCCTCCAGTGATTGGGTATGGATATAATGGCATGATCCCAGTTGTCATGGCCTCCACAGTGTCTACTAGCCCATAGTTGTTATAGTGTCCATTTTTGATAATAGTGTTAGATATACTGATAACAGCAACTGGTATGCTTGAACTGCTGAGCTGTTTCCTGTAATAAATCAACAGTCCACTACCTCCATAATTCACATCAGATGTATTGTTCAATGTCTGTTCATTGATTATAAGGTTTTGGACTGATATTTGACCATACGAATCCGACAGTATCATTCCAAATCCTTGGTACTCAGTTATGCTGATACCTGACAGACTAAGGTTTGAACAAGTGTCAAATATCAACGCAGCCGATTGAAATGCAGGAAAATAGAATTGAGATTCAACTTTAATATTTCCATTAAGAAAAGAGACAGATTTACTAAGAAATCCACCACAACCTACAAACAAAACATCCTTGATGATGAGATCAGTGACATTATGGAACGCAATCCCACGTCTTGTTGCTAGGTGTGTTCCTTCACAGATAACAGTTGCTAATGTGTCAACAGCTTCTATTGTAATGTTATAAGTATCACTTATCAGACAAATGGTGCCGTTGTCAAGTGAAGGAGTAATATAATGAGAAGTATTTGATTCCAGAGTGAGTGTTGTATTAGCAGGAAGAGAGGAGCCACAGAGATAATATTCTAATGAATTGTTGCTTTTTCCTGGTATTTCGATAACTGTGCCCCATCCTGGTTTTAAAAAACAGCAACTCAAGAGAAAACAGACCAAAAGGAGAGCAGTGGCCATAGCAGAAATGGTAATTACCACCCACGCAGTTATTAACGCCCACGTATAATAATAAGATTTTCAAAAATTAAAATAAGATCTAAAAAATTATAGTGCAGTGTAGAATAAATTGATGTGTCTGATTTCTTCCCAACCAGGAGATTTTTTAACTTCGCAATGATAAACAACATTTCCAAATATACGTTAACCTAAAATTAATGTAAGAAATAGCTTATTTTAATATCATGGCCTCGCCTATGCAAGTTATAGGTAGTTGTTGTGCCTGTTTGTCATTCATTCATTCATTCATTCATTTTAGCACAGTCGCAAAGGAAATTTAATCAAAAAATGAAAATGAGTAATATAATCATAGTTCCATTAAAAATATTTTGTAGAATCAAAATTGAATTTTTTAATGAATTTAAAAGTTACTTAATAATCTGGCGGAAGTTCATGTACTGTACTATAGTAGATCTACAGGGTTATTGGCCAAAAATGACTAGGAGAGAATTCTCCATTTCTAAGTGTGACCATAATATTTAATCTTGACAATACAAATATGAGTGAAACAATTGACACATTGTACATACATACAAAGATAACTTTTTAAATAAGTAAGGTTATGCTTCAAAAATAAGCCACAAATAACTAATCATACGATGCCCAGTTGCCCATACTAATTTACTAATTGTGAATTGCATTAAAATCTTGATGAATTCAAATGCATTACTAAGTACAAAAAAAACAGAAACAATACATGAAAGCTTATAGTTCATTTCACCAATCTGCCTTGCCAATCCTAAATTCTAAAACAATCAAGTAAATATTCAACAGTTAGATTCTTCATGGGCTGGCAAATAATTTTCATTTTGCCTAATCAAACACATGTATGCACAGTATTGGATTATACACACTACATAATATAGACCATACAGTACATGTACATCAATCAGTTCACACAACCATACACATACATGTACATGTACAAACAATATTAACACCATCATCATTATACAATAGCCAATAATGCCTTCTCTGAATAAGCCACACAATTGTATCTATATAAAACCTACCTTTGTGGTTAATAAGAGCTGTATGATTTCATGACATGACATTTCCTCAATATCTTTACTAGAACTGATGGAGGAATTTTAGATTATCCAGAAGCTTGCTATTGTTTTACTAATTTTAAATCATCAAGTATAGCCACATATTGTGAAGCTGGACCTCCTAATAAAGAACAACATATGTAATATAGCAATCAACAGAGCTGCTTGTGTCCCTTTTGAGAAATAAATTACTAATTGCTGTAAGAATACAACAACCATATTAATGCATGCCATTATGATTCAAATACATGTAGTTACACCTGCTTAATATTACATCACTTACATGAGTTACTTGCCAGTAATAGACAGTGAGACAATTATATCTCAAATCAATTTCACTATCACTAAAATTAATGTCATCATTAGATTTCTCTCCTTCCTGTCACTTCTGTCAATTTCTAGCTCTATATTGTCATTAGCAGGGAAAGACTCTGGCTTAGTCTTGGCATTCTGTGAAAAGGAATGAATACAATTATTACAAATCAAAAAATCTATACAATAAAATGTTTATTCTAAAATTGTGCTGTAATTTAATTTTTACTATATATATAACTGTGTCATGGATTATTAAATGTGGCATGTAATTATATGCGTGATCTAATTTTCCAGATAGACAGTACATCACAAAAGTTTCAAATTCCACACAGTTGCCTGGTAGTATAGTAATACATTACCAGATGCTGATAGAAAGTATATGGAAAAAGTCATGACATACACTTAAGAATGAAGATAGAAACACTACAAGTGTACTGCAGATCGATAGACTAGTATACTGCATATACAAAGAAATACTTCTGTTTACTCTATACTGACTGACTATGTGATTATTCAGTTTCACTTCGCTTTGTCAATTTATCAAAACAATAATAATTATTGTTTTGATCAATTTGCAAAGCTAAGTGAAACTGAAGATACACAGTAGAGTAAACAGAAGTGTTTCTTGTATACTATATACCACCTGAAGTATAATATACAATCTTGTATAACACTTCATACTACCCTGTATGCTATTGTATACAAGTTCAACTGGGTATAGTATAAAACTGTAGAAGGGGCATAAACAGAGTCTAACAGACCAGCAATAGATTAGAGTGTAAAGGGAATTAGATATATACTCTATCTTTACTCTATCTAAAAAATTAAATTGATATCTGCTTCTAAGTCTTTTAAGCAGTATGGGGATAAGAGGATTAACAACATATATGCTGGAAAAGTCACATCTAGAAGTTGTATGTGAAGCTTACTCTCTAAAAGGTAAGACACTGGTACTAGACGGCCTGAGTGTCTGCTATACTCTAATTGAACAAGAGGAAAAGATTAACTGGGTACAAGGAGGCCAATACTGGGACATAAAAAGTTGCTTCCACAGCTTTTTTACAAAGCTGAGAGAAAGTGGAATAAAGAGTTACGTTGTCATTGATGGTGTACCTCCTCAAAGCAAGGGTGAAGAATTAGAGAGACGTAGCAAAGACAAAATGAAAAGGATTTCCCAAGGTGTTAGGGAACCATACCGTCTACGGACTACATGCCATCCGCTACATACCGATTACATATTCTGTGAAGTGCTAAAAGAGTTTGGTGACTGTGTTCAAGTTATCTTTGCTGATGGAGAAGCAGATCCTGAGATTGCTTCCCTTGCCAACCATTATCACTGTCCTGTGCTCGCGTATGATTCCGATTATTTTATATTCAACCTTGATGAAGGATATATTCCGTTGCATCCAGAACTGTTTAAATGGAAAACGAACGAGGAAATTGAGGCAAAACAATATTTGCTGCCTAAATTTAAAAAAGAGTTTAAAGATCCTGCACTGGTTTTCTTAATCCCTGCTATCATTGAAAATGATTTCATTAAACTACCAAGAGGAGGTGAAAGTGTAGAGCAGCTGATGAAGTCTCAGAAAATTTGTTCCTCATTGGAAGAATTCCTGACACATAGGACTCAAGAGGAAGTTCCCATTATTAGGCAAAATTACGTCAAGGCAAAAGCAATGTACCACATCACTCCAGTCAGCAAGGAGGAGTTGATGAGTAACACGAAATTGAATACAGCAAATGGCAAACCTCTTAGAGGCACACATATCATAGAGGAGTATCATAAAGGGAATCTTGCAGAATCAGTTCTGACTGTGATCACTCAAGGCGAGTGTGAGCTACCAATGATGATAGATGATCCTGAGCAAGCCTCATCAGTATTGATTGGAAGAGAAATAAGGAAAAGCATCTACAGGATTGTAGCACCATGCTTACCAGAAGATGAAAATGGAGTGAAGAAAGTGAAAGAAATATATCGTAATGCTTCTTGTGATGGATTAGAAATGAAGTTCGTTGAGCTGAGCAAAGATGAATGTCTAAGATCATGCCCCATTGATGAAATACCACAACTTAGGCCTGAAAGAAAGATAGAGATACTCTGTACAGCAGTAGAGGTGGATCTTAGAAAGCTGAAACAGTTTGAAGATGAATGGAAACTAATTGCATTATCATTGCACTACTGGGCAAGACATGCTGATCCTTCTGATCACCTAATAAAAGCTCTCATTTTGTGTTTCAGTGTTTGCACATTATGTGGTCGTGACCCTACAATATACATAGATAAAAGAAACGAAATTGAAAAAGAAAGGGCACAAGTTACATGGAGGGAGAATTTGCACATCTTTGCACAATGGAAGTGTGTCTATGACAATATTTTTGATCTGAACAGCTTACTTATAAATCCACTTCCATTCAAATCATTTGCTTCTTTATTCAATGGAGAGCTCCTCATGCATTATACCAAGTTATCCGTCAGGGCATTTGAAGAGGAAATAAGAAGGTGGAAGAATGAAGGAAACTGTAAATCTTGGTTTGAACCACTTTTTCGTTTTTGCCAATGTACTAAATCTAAAACTTTATAAAGACTATTGAAAGATCAGTGATCATGCATAGACAGAACTAGCATCACTGAGTGTTTAGAAAATAATAGTTATTTTCATTGACTTGTACAGAAAGGGAGGTGCACTATACATTACATGTACATGTACATCAAATATAGTAATTCAAGTTGTGTGCAGGTTTTAGATTTTGAAAAATTGTGCTTTGAATACAGAAATACAAAATTAATATGATTTGACACCTTAATTTTGACAGATTTAACAAAAAATTGGCTATGCAATTATATTTGTAGCATGCCAAAAAGTACTTAACATATGTGACATATACTTTTGTGCATGCACTGAATACAAGAGCATTAATTGGCAGCACATATACATGCGAAATGCATTAAGCAGCCTATTAAAATACAGTGTATGTTAGGGTGGAGCCAGTGTGGGCAATCTTATGTGCCAAAGGTAGATAAGCTTGTTGAGTGTTCATGAATATGAAAAATGATTACAGTGTAGTGAGTGTACTATAGTTGGGATATAGTAATTTACACATGTACAAAGTACATAAGTGGTAGAAGATCATAAAAAATAAAGTTGAATTCCTGATATAGCATAGTATACAGAGCAGAATTCTGCTCGGCAGTCACTTTTAGTTTTCAGATAGTGAAAAAGAGAATAGCTTGAAAATGGCTGACTGACCCAATGAGTTCAATATCAGGATCAGTACAATGAAAGCTATTATTAAATCCAATCAAACAGTGTATCAACAAAAAAGTATCCAAAGTATTCACTCATTACATTAATAAGAGGTATAGTACATATGTACAGTACATGTAAATAGGCTCATGTTGTAAGCAAGGCACACATCATAACAAGGTGGCACGTGTTATTTTCATACATGTGCTATAATGAAATAAACTGTATGTTTCGTAAAAACACACACTCATGTGTCAACAAATACAAAGCCATAATTGCCTAACCAACCATACGCTGTTCTTGCTGCTGGGTTAACCCTATTATTCTCAAAACTATGCCGGCATATTTGGCTCAGGCCTAAAGAGCAAGCATGAGCATACAATGCACTCATCAATATGGGCAATGTATACAATCTCTTCAAATGCATTGCATACATAAATTCCAAATTCCTGGCACTGCTTCTCTAACTTCATCCTCAAGGAACAAGTATTACATATAGTTTGACTATCATTTACATGCTGACTCCTGTAAAGCAAAAGAATGGAGAGATTAAACATAAGTAAAGGGAAGAAAGGATGGAGGGATAGAGGGAAAAGGGGGAGGGAGGGAGAGTAAGCTTTTGCTGTTGCTGGTAATGTATATGTTGGACAGATTACAGATAGGAGATATAAGCTAAGCTGCTAATGGTTGCCAAGGCAAAGTTCACCATGCTTGTTTGACCAGAATAATTCTTATTAAAGAATGTGTGTAATATTACAATTGATAACAATGAATAATTAATTATGAAGTCCAACATACCGCCGGCCAAGACCGACGGTCTTACAAAACTTAATCAAATAAATGAAAGGGGAATGAGTCATGAGAATGAATAAATGTACTATACATAATAGCGTGTGTGTTTGTTCAATTGCTTGTAGGAATTAGTACGGCTACTTTAGTGACTGGCCTTTTGTATGTGCCATTAGGTGTCTTGATCGTTACGACACGTACTATTCCATCTTGTCCAGGGTGGACTCCAATGACTCTTGCCATTGCCCACTTAGTAGGTAATAGACCATCCTCTCTGACAATTACCACATCATCGACCTCAATATTTCGAGTACTCGTGTTCCATTTGGCATATCTTTGTAAGGAACTAATATACTCTCCTGACCACCGTTTCCAAAAGTGGTTTAGAACAGATTGACATAAATGCCAACGCTTCAGTAGTGTGAGAGGTCTACTCAGATCAACAGAATCAGGTAGAGCTTCTATGGGCCTCCCTATCAGGAAATGTCCTGGTGTTAGGGCTTCTATACCATCATCATTGCAATTAATGCGAGTAAGTGGTCGACTATTGAGGCAAGCCTCTATCTGTGTCAAGATTGTAGTCAGCTCTTCAAAGGTAAGTTTGATGTTGACAGTGACCTTCTTGAGATGGGATTTAAAGCTCTTAACAGCTGCTTCCCACAAGCCTCCAAAGTGTGGAGCTCTCTCTGGCATGAAGTCCCATTGTATATTCTGATTAGAACAGAACTGTGATATGAGTTGCTGACTATTATGTTGGCTTAAGAAATGAAATAAGTCCTTCAATTCTGTGGCAGCACCAACAAAATTAGTACCATGGTCACTCCAAATGACAGATGGCTTACCACGTCGTGAGATGAATCGTCGTAAGGTGGCAATAAATGCTTCAGTGGTTAGATCCGAGACCGGTTCCAAGTGAACAGCCTTTACTGACAATGATACAAAGACACAGACATAAGCCTTGACTATAGTTGGTTTACGTACATATCCATACTTGACACTGATTGGTCCTGCGTAGTCAATTCCAACCTTATCAAATACAATATCAGGTGACACACGAGCAGTTGGTAATTGACCTAACATAGGTGGTTTGGGCTTAGCTGATACACGACGACAGATGACACAAGCTCGAGTGATTGAACGAACAATCTGATGACAACCAAATATGTAGTAACGAGTTGAGAGTTGTGCCATGAGTAATGTGGGTCCAGCATGAAGGAGTCGGACGTGTTCAGTCGCTACAATAAGATGTACCAGTGGACTCTTCCTATGAAGAATCACAGGATGCCGATTATGAAATGGTAATCTTGCATTCTTAGCTCTACCACCCACTCTCAATAATCCACAGCCATCCATGAATGGGTGTAGTGGTAGTAGCATACTAGAGCGGGGAATTTCTCCTTGCCCTTGAAGGGTCTCTATCTCTTCACCGAATATCTCGTGCTGAGAGAATGACAACCAGTAGCTCTCAGCCATTGACAACTCCTGAGTTGATAGGTGTGAAGAGAATCTCTCATTTCCTCTGCTGGGAAGTGAATTTCGAACAAATCGGAGAATCCATGCAGTAATCCTCTTCAAGTGATTGAAGTTGGAATAACGATTGACAGGTATTACAGGAGTCTTGATGCGTACTGAGGTATGGAGACATATTTCAGTACATTCCTCCTCATACTGATTTGGTGGCAAGTCCTTGGAATGAGGCCAATGTTCCTCACTCTTGTACAGCCATGCGGGTCCTTTCCACCATAACTCGTGGTCAAGTAATTCAGATGGAAACATTCCTCTGGAGGCACAATCTGCTGGATTGTCTGCTCCATCTACATGGAACCAATTAGTGCTAGGAATAGCTTCGACAATGTAAGATACTCGGTTGCATACATAGGTTTTGAATCTCTTTGGACTACCCTGCAGCCAGTTAAGCACAATGGTGCTATCTGTCCAACCAAAGGTATCCTTCAGACTGAGTTGTAGCACTTCCCTCACATGACCCAATAACTGAGCTAGCAGCTGTGCTCCACAAAGTTCCAATCTAGGGATAGTGAGTTGTTTGATTGGAGCTACCTTGGTCTTGGAGGTAACTAAGGCTACATGAATGTTACCTTGAGTATCTATTCCTCTGATATAGACTACACCAGCATATGCATGCTTGGAGGCATCAGAAAATCCATGTATTTGAACAGATGTGATGTGACATTCCTTACTAAAGTAATAGCGCGGAATGGGTACCTTAAATAGCAAGTGAAGCTCATCTCTCCATCTCAACCAGGTCTCAAGTATTGAAGATGGTACTGTCTCATCCCAGTCAACTTTGAGCTCCCACAATCGTTGAAACAGCATCTTGGCTTTAATTATTGTGGGTGCAAACCAACCTAAGACATCAAATGTTTTAGCTATATCAGAAACTAGAGATCGTTTAGTGATGACATCAAGGGAAGAGAGTTCATTAGCAGTCAATCGAAAACAATCAGCAGATGTGCTCCATTCTATACCCAGTGCTTTAGTATACATCTGAGGATCAGTTATGGCTACAGTAGACATAGAGTCTTGAAGCTCTCTGGGAATATGTTGAAGTACTTCCCTTTCACTCGAATTCCACTTACGGAGTAGAAATCCTGCTTGTGAAAAGAGATCTTGTAGTTCCCTCTGGAGTTCTATTGCTTTCTCCGTTGAGTCTGCTCCAGTAAGTGCATCATCCACGTAAAATGAGTTCTCAACAACCTTTGAGGCATGTGGATGAGTGAGAGCATGATTAACAGCATTCTGCTTGACACACATATTAGCCATAAATGATGAGGCAGACACTCCAAAAGTCACACGTGTCATTCTGTAGTCCTTCAGGGGGTCCTTAGGACTCTCTCTCCAAACAAATCTATGGTAATCTCGATCTGTGTCTGTTAATCTCACTGCTCTGTACATTCGACTAACATCTGCAACTAAAGCTACACGATGTGAGCGAAATCGCAGCAGTACATCGATCAATGGAGGATGGACAGTAGGTCCAACCAATAATGTGTCATTAAGAGAAACTCCAGTGGAAGATTTAGCTGATGCGTCGAATACAGCTCTGATTTTTGTGGTAGTACTGGTTTCCTTACGCACAGTGTGCATAGGGAGGTAAAACACTTCATTAGGAGGTTTGTCCAAATCAGCTTCAGGAACCAGCTCTGCATGATCACTCTCAAAGTACTCTGACATAACCTCTGCTAACTCCTGAAATTGTCCCTTAGCATTGAGAGAACGTTCCATGCTCAGAAATCTTCTGACAGCTGCTGAACGTGATTCACCTATAGGCTTGGCTTCCTTCTTAATAGGCAAGGGTACTACAAATCTGCCATCTTCAGAAAAATAATGCTGTGTATCAAAGTAGTGCACGGAAAGGCGCTCATCAGTAGACATAGGAGTCATTGTAGCTGGGCTCTCTTCGATCTCCCAGAATTTGCGTAATAGATCATCACCTGATTGGACAGATGCATGATGAGTGATAACACGTGCATGAGAATCATTATTATCAAATACATTACCAGCAAGTACCCAGCCTAGCTCTGTCTGAAAGGCTAAGGGAGACCCTGGAGGTCCCTCCCGCCGGCCATGACGCATTACTTGTACAAATATTTCCACACCCAATAGAACATCAACTCTACTAGGCTGCCCATACTGAGGGTCAGCCAGAGACAAGTCATTCAAATGTAACCAAGCTTGGTCATGGAGAATAGGAGCTGAAGGTAAGTCACACGTTACACGGGGAACTATTACTGCTGTGACATTAAACTTCTTGTGATTGGAAGAGATAGGGGAAATGGCAAATGAAGTGATTGGTTGCTGAGTTGACCGTCTGGTGAATCCAGCAACGCCTGATATCACGGCATTCTGTTTTGTGCGCTTTAGGCTTAGCCCAGTGGCTACCTTCTCAGAGACAAAGGATGCTGAAGAGGCACAATCTAACAGAGCACGTGCTTCTACGTGTGAGCCATTATGCCCATGTACTCTTACAATACATGTCATCAGCAATGCATTAGACTTAAGGTCCAAGGCTGTGTGAGTAGTGATGGGTGCCCCAGCAGCTTGTGACTGTGGGGTGGCATTACCAGTTTCTTTGTGAATCAGAGTATGATGGGGTTTTTGGCAATGCTTACAGCGATGAACGGACTTACAATTATATGCTACATGACCAGGTCTGAAGCAGTTCATACATAGATTATTAGACTTTAGTACTGATAACATTTGGTCATGATCAAAAGATTTAAACTTGGTACATGTATACAATGGGTGACTCACAGATTTACAGACCAGACACTTAATTACATCAGTAGTAGTGGCGTGAGTCGTGACAGGTCTAGTACCGGTCTTCTTGTTAGCTGGAACATTAGGCTTCTTCGATTCTGGGTTGGATGTCTCAGCAGCTCGTGCACGAAGGTTGATGAAGTCCAATATCTTCTGATAATGGGGTACAGCCACAGTCTCCTGCGTGTGTTTCTGCCACTCAAAGAGAGTGTTCTGATCTAACTTCAGCTCAATGACAGACGTGAGAAATGGTCCCGAGGGATCGTACTCCATTGACTTCAGAGCTCTGAGATGTTGTTGTAAAGTGTCATGGAGTTTGCGAAGCTCCTTACCACTACCATCTTTGACAGGAGGCGTGTTGAGTATTTTCTTTACGTGAGTCTGATGGATGATTCTTGGATGGTCATATCTTGCTCGAAGACTGCTAACAGCTTCAGGATAGTGTTCACCAGAATGTGATAAGCCTTCAATCGCTTGCTTAGCAGAACCATCCTTTATGGCCTGCTGAAGATATACAAGCTTCTCTGCATCAGCAAGATCTGAGCGGTCATGGACAGATATGACGAATTGCTCCCAAAAGCTCCTCCAATTAAGAATGTCTCCATCAAAGGTCGGTACGTCCATCTTTGGTAGTCTGACTCCACCCTTCCTCTCTGTTGCCAGAGCAGCAGCAGTAGCTTGAGAGCGAAGAAGCTTCTTTATTTGAAGAGCATGATCAAACATGGCTTTTCCAGTTTCAGTTAACTCAGTATACAAGGGATCATCATCCTTTATATCTGATGACAGTAGAGCACTGCGTACCTCTCTATGTTCCAACTTGAGATCCATTAATCGATCTTCTAATTGATTTAAGAGACAGGTATCTTCATCAGGTGTGTGTCCCTCAATGGAATCACGTATCTGATCAAGATCTAGACGTAGTTGAGTGAATCTTCGTTGAAAGATTCGGCTTTCCTGGTTGGAAGTTGAATGAGTCGTGACAAGAGCTTGGAGTCTGAGGCACAGGTCTGTGACAGCGTCATCGTGAAGATCCAGCTCAGAATGCTCCTTTGCTTGTTCACCCTCGTCAGTAATAGTATCAACTACTGCGTAGTGGTGTATCTTGAACTCTGCATCGAGTGATTCGAGTTTCGCCTTTAAGTGTTGCGCTTGACCGACAACAGCAGGATCTGGAGGTCCTGTTTGTGCTTCAAGTGCTTCCACCTTTTGAGTGAGATAAGTAATGGAACGCTTGGTGGTCCCTCTTCTTCTTCTAGGATTAGCTTGGGCCATGATGGCACGTGAGAAAGTCTTGACAGCAAGGCAACACGAACGGGCTTACTATCTCCCTAATTCTGCCAGTTGGGGTGAGGACTGTTAGTGTAGAGTGATATCCGGGTCGTTTGGACCAATAAATGTTGGACAGATTACAGATAGGAGAGATAAGCTAAGCTGCTAATGGTTGCCAAGGCAAAGTTCACCATGCTTGTTTGACCAGAATAATTCTTACTAAAGAATGTGTGTAATATTACAATTGATAACAATGAATAATTAATTATGAAGTCCAACAACCTTCATCCGAAGAAAGTGAGTCGTTATCAATGAAAAGTGGTACGTTTGACCTATAGATCTAGCAGTTAATTAAAATAGTAGCAATGGATGGACATAGTTGAAGGATGTTAAGGAGGGCTGTACGTCTGTTAAGAGAATTAAAGGCGTTACTAGCATCAACAAGGAGAACAGCTTCACAATCCAGTGATTGGAACATAGCACGAACAGCATGAACTCCAGCTTCACAACCACCAGGCTGACCAGCACATAACTGATCAGTACCTGTGACATCCATAACATCTTGACCAACAACCATTAAGATTGCTTTACCAATAATCCTTCTTACCACCTCACCAACACCAATAGGGCGAACACCTCCTGGGAGCTTATCAATGGCAA